TATATATATATATATATATATATATATATTAAAATATATATATATAAAATATATATATATATATATATATTAAAATATATATACGCAACATTTCACACATGTTTATAAATATGTAGCATGCATAGATATTGATGTATATATTAAGACTACATTTTAGGCAGGAACATCGTATAATATAATAATTAAGAATATTTAATACATTAACTACCACACCGATTTTGCTTGACTTTCCATTCGCGCTACTTGAGATGCTTGATACATAAGTCGGAGAATAAATAATTAGCAAAAGTCAAACGCCGGTTCGTGGGGACCGATGCAGCATAAACGGAAAGTCTAGTGCCGGTCCGTAGGGACCGACATAACAGTAATTTTATCATTATTATCATTTATTATCATTTAACATGTTAAGTATTAAAATAAGTAATATTATATGAAAATAAGTTAAGAAATAAAATAAGTTACTTAAAACTCCTGATACGATGAAATAAATCAAATAATAAAATCCGACAAATCGGTACGTAATACAATACATGCATGAATTTACAATAAAAAATTAAACCTGCACGCGAAAAAGAGTAACTGTGCTGGTAATTGTTTTGGCATTCGTTTTTTCTTTATTTGTATTAAAATTTATAATTCTTTGCTGCGAGGAATAGAAGAATTAATGTAAAGTTTGAACATATTTTTGTCAAAATAATCTTATGAAAATAATCTTATGTTAATCTTTATGAAACTAATATTAATATTCATTTTCTAATAGTGCTGATTATACATTAATTTATGAACGTATAGAATAGAAATATTAATAATTTCGTGATAAATAAAAATAACATATGATAAACATTTGTAATGTAAACCATAAGTGAAAAATCAAACTGGATAGAATAATCATTGAGGAGAAGAGTGACATAATTAAGAAACTATTATAGAATATCATGTATAACATAATATTTATTAAAATAAATTCATTTTCGTTTTATTAATTCTGCTCATATTATCAATTCTGCAATTCATTCATATTATTAATACCGCTTATTTCTTTCCAATGGATATATTATATGTTATATGCAAGAATAGCGAGCGGTAACCGAGAAACATTGGAAACGCTC